CAAACTAAAATAAAGTATTTTACAGTAGTTTATTCGTATCAGCTTTCTTTAGGTCTTGTGTTAACTTAGCCAAAATCAATGGTTAACAAATGTGACAAAATTATAAACATGTGTGTAATTATCACGTGTATAGTACCAATTTATATTTGAATTGGTTTTACAGGAAGATCTTTCTAAAATGGGAGAGATAGAAAATTCATTTGCTGTATTTTGTATGGCCACGTATGGTGAAGGCGATCCAACAGATAATGCACAGGAATTCCATGAATGGTTGGAGGATGGTACTTCTGAACTTAATGACCTCAAATACGCGGTGAGTATAGACAGACCGATGGATTTGTTTTTGTCAACTAATATGCGTAAAAAGATGAAAAAAATGATACCTCACTAACGCCTGACAGAATAGTGTACGTCTCGTCAACAGGATCAATACTGCGAATTCGCAAAGTTTACACCTTCTTGTAATAAGTTTCAATGAATATTCATTTTTGTGGTCCTGGTAACATCGTCAATCAAAGCCGTGTTTGCATTGTCGGCAAAAATCACAGACTGTTTTCAACAAGATGATAAACATTGGGTGGGAATTCGCCAGCACCTTATCACACATTATGTCAACGAACAAAATAAACTGTGAATGGTTACTTTTTGACGTTCCTGCAATTTGATTGGTACAGACAAAAAATTGTCGGGGGAAGTGAAAAACTACATCGTTCTGTCTAGGCGTGTGTTGGGTTTGAAGCACTGCGGAGGGCGTGACTCGTCAGGCTAGATCAGCACTAGCTTCGAACAAAAAAATGGCATGCACAGGTCACCACTAACTCGTAATGTGTTGCCAAAGCATTTCCATACAAGATCCATATAAAATGCCTGTGACATTTAATCTAATTGATTACTCTAATTTATAAAACAATAAATACCAATAGCATTGTTTATCATACCTGTACATTGAAAATAGTTGATGTATCCCCACTCACATGGTGAGACAAATAAATGATATTGTCACAGGCCACAAATATTAGATTATATTTTCTCTGTGTAAAATCTTCTATGGATGAATTTTGATATTCTATCTCATCACAAGGAAAACATATTGCACTGTGGTAATAGTAAATGTACATATGTAGGTACATATGCGCGTAAATTGAGTCCTAAACAATGCACACTAAAAACACAAAGACCCATGGGTAGATGCTTGTTTGTAAATAATGACACGCTATGGCCACGTGCATCAGAAACCCATAATCTCTAATGTATATGTACCAAGTTTGAACAAAATCCATCCATAAACGCCAAGATCCAGTTCTGGAATGCCAGAAATGCATGATTTTTGATTATTTATCAAAAATGGCTGCCATTTGACCATTTTGAATCAGATGGTCAAACCAATATACATGCATCTGTCATGTATAATGAATATATAAAATTTGATCATAATCAGTCAAAGCATGGCAGAGATATGGCACTAGAATTACATTCATTAAAACAAAATGGCCACCGGTCGGTCGTTTTAAATTGGATCTGAAAAATAATATTTAAATAATAACGTGCATCAAGGTCCCATAATTTCCAGCGTATGTACCAAGTTTAAACAAAATCCATCCATAAAAATGGCAACCATTCGGCCATCTTGAATCAGATCTTGAAACAAATTGATGTGCATATGTATAATATTATGTATGATGTATGTGGGATGTTTGATTGTGATTGGTCCAGGCATGTCTAAGATACAAGTGCATGCATGGACGCACAAAGGTCAAAACATAAGTCCCTGTTTTCGGACTACGTTCAAACAGGGACTAAAAAAGATGCAGACAAATTTGGGTGAGAAAGTTAATATTTGCTGTTTGTTGTAGGTGTTTGGTTTGGGTAACAAGACGTATGAGAATTATAATACAATGGGTAAATTTGTAGACAGTAAACTAGAAGAACTTGGTGGTACACGTGTATTTGAACTTGGATTAGGAGACGATGATGGAAAGTAAGTATCGTTTTATTATCTTGCCATAATGTCTTGGTCTTTGAACAAATAGGCTTGACAGCATTGGTAGCCAAAGCTATTTATTTGCATAATAATGTCCAATCTGCACAATATCTAATTTGCATAATAATGAGTAACTTGCATATAACAATGCCCATATTTTTGGAGAGGTGGATTTATTCACAGTAATTTTGTCAAAGAAAAAAGTTTGGCAAATAAATTTATCAAAAACAAATGTTAGTTGGAGAATTGTTTTTCTGAGCAAATTAATGCATATTCTTTCATGTACTTATAAGAATTGTATGAATAATATTGACCCTTATAATTAATATAATAATAATGTATTTTCTGAAATTAGTATTTTGTTACAATAGTATCAACTTCCTTATTGAAGTTTCAAGCAGGGCATTTTATTGGCCAAGTGGGTAAGAGATCCTTAAGCCCCCTACCCATACCCTAACACTCCAGTCCCCCCCAATGTTATTGTATATGCCCTCCAAATAAATTGACTATTCCAAAGAGGGGAAAATACAATTGAAAAGGGAAGGGCAATGAGGCAAGGTTAGGATTTGTGGGGGACTAGACCCTAAGGAACTCTTACTGCCAAGTGTGATAAAATTGCCATGTTTATATTGTGTTGAATGTTGTCTTTGGGGACTTATTCAAGTTCATGATAGTTAGGCTGAGAAAAAAAATATCTCTGTTTCTCGTTTCCGCGCGCATCATTTTGAACTATGCGCCTCAGATGTTTTTTTTCCTTCTAAAGCATTCCAAAATGCGCTTGTACTCGCACTTGTCTCAAATTTCTCCCATTTGAGCTCAATATTCAAAAAAAAAAAAAAAAATCGCCTAGCCGCCTCATTTTAAAATTTCCATGAAATGAGAAACAGAGAATTTTTTTTTCCTGGCCTTAAGTTGCATCTTTTTCTATTTTCATCAGTTTAGAGGAGGACTTTGTAACGTGGCGCGAATCATTTTGGCCGACAGTATGTGAACACTTTGGTGTTGAGGCTACCGGTGAAGAGGGCAGTGTTCGGCAGTATGCAGTTACTGTACATGAAGATATACCTAAAGAGAAAATATTTACTGGTGAAGTGGCTCGACTTAAGTCATTCCAAAACCAGAAGCCGTAAGTGAAGTTTTATTTTGATGTTTGTTAGAATGCGTGAAAACACATTGTTTGGATCATTTGAGGAGTAAAAATAAATTTTCTGTGTTTTTCAAATTTTGTTAATATTCCAACAGACTGCATTGTAATGTAAATTCTTCCTGTTAAATTTTTAAATATTTTGCACATGTTATTGTAATTATTTCTTTGATAATTTTGGACCAAATGGACAGAGTTTTTCATTGCCTACAGACCTTGATTAAATTTTTTGAAAAAATGCTTCAAAAATGATGCAGGTTTTATCTATAAATGGTGTTAATTGTTTTTTATTAATTTCTCTCAGGGACAATGATTCCAAAATTGTATCCACCATATGTCCACTGTACATATTTGTAGCAATTCCTTACACTACACCGTCAACTTTTCTCACCATCTACAAACTTATTCTGTACAGTCTGTTTCTCTTATGAAATGTTGATAAAAATTGACAAAGCTTTTGATCCAAAACTAAAAGTAATATCTGATCTTGTCTGTATGCTTCAATGATGATTTGATGAAATTTTACAAAATGTGAAAAGATTTAGGTTGAATTTTGGGCGACAAAAATATCTGGCACTCAAAGGGTTTAATGAGGAATTCCACCAGGTTCCAGCATGCATTGCTGCCCCCAATATACTGATAAAAAGTCCCAATATTTTTGTATGACATGGTAATATTTCCATAATGTTGACAGTTCTAACAAAGTTATTTCCATTTGTTACAGTCCTTATGATGCTAAGAATCCATACCTCTCTCCGGTTATTGTTAATCGTGAGCTACACAAAGGAGGTGATAGGTCATGTATGCATCTTGAATTTGACATTACTGGATCCAAAATAAGGTTTGTATTCTGTCTACTTTTCCACAGATAGACTCTAGTTATTAACCTTCTCACCACCAAACTTTCTTGAACTAATTTGTCTGCACTTTTTTTTTTATCTTCAATATTTCCGGAAATTAATCCTAATTTTGGAGTCAATTTTCAATTTTTACTCAAAATATTTGGCCATTTTTGAAAGAAAGTGCTGATTTTGAACAAGACTATTTTGTGAATTTGTGATTATTATTTGTCTCCAAATCTATACATAGATAGATAGATAATTTATATGACACAAAACACACATGGTCAAGAAACTAATCAATTAACAACACAATAAAAAAAAAACACACAACAAGAAACAAGTTTTAGAAATAATTCAAAATGGAATGAATAAGACTATTGGCAATGAAGCTATCTTTTGTTCCAAGCAATTGCTCAATACCTTGGCTTGAGAGCTCACTATTAGTGGAGTCATAACAGAGAGTTTCTTTATTGAAAACATAGGTAATCTGATTTTGTTTGATTTGCTGGCCAATCAAATAGCAGCTTACATTAAGGTCTTGAAATACGATACAATACTTGATTTGATTGGTTATAATTGTATCACTTTGTTACAGGTATGAGTCTGGTGACCATGTAGCTGTATATCCCATTAATGACAGTGAATTAGTTAATGGAATTGGTGACATATTGTCCATTGATCTGGATACTGTATTTTCATTGCTTAATGTAGATGGTAAGTATAATGTTATTAAATTATAAATCTGCGTGGCCAATTTCTTTTCCTTCACTCTACTTTGTGTGACATTTTTTTTTTCTCCCAAAAAGTTTGAACAAATTCCAAAGTAAAAATATTGCAACTATTGAGACAGCCAATCATTGGTGGTGATCAATGGCTATGAATGTGCTTGGAAGACGCACAGACAATTCTTTGCCTGAGGTCAGGTGACACTGTAAACCAATTAAATTTCGGAAGAAACTTGTCTGCATGAATGCCTTAAAATTATCAAATCTCAAAAATTTTTAGCAACAAACTGTAGGATACAGTATGCTTTGAACTGGAGCAGCTGTGTGTAGCTACAAAAATTGATCTAGTGGAATATATTTTTATTTTCAGAGGAAGCCAGTAAGAAACATCCATTTCCGTGTCCGTGTAGTTATCGCACAGCATTATCGCATTATTTAGACATAACCAGTCCTCCACGTACCAACGTACTACGAGATTTAGTAGAATACGCCAGCGACCCTAAAGACAAAGAATTCATCTTGGCAATTACATCACCGACTCCAGAAGGAAAGAAACAGTACGCCGATTGGGTACTTGCTGATCAACGTGATATTTTAACTATCCTACGTGATCTGCCGTCTTTTAGGCCACCGATTGATCATCTCCTTGAAATGTTACCAAGGCTTCAGGCCCGATATTATTCAATTGCTTCATCACCTAAGGTATGTACATGCTCTGTTCAAGATCACCTGGGAGTTTTATAAAAAAAAAAAAAAATGGTTAAATATTTATTCTTCAACATGAAGATATAGTTTTCTAAAATAAATTTTGTTTAAGTATGTTGGCACTTTATGGAAGTATGCTTGGACTTTATCAAAGTATGTTGAGAATTTATGAAAGTAGTCATTTCAGTGTCTGGCTTCTCAAACAATAATAATAGTAATAATTGTGTGACCACCGTGGTTAATATATAAATGGTTTGTATTGTCTTTTCAGTTACATCCACAAAGCATTCATATTACCGCAATTTTAGTTGATTACACTACACGCACTGGAAGGCCTGCCAAAGGTGTTGCTACTAGTTGGCTCAAGAATAAAATACCAAATGGACCGCTTAAACCTACAGTACCAATCTATGTACGTAAATCACAGTTCAAACTACCGTTTAAACCAACAACACCAGTGATTATGATCGGACCTGGAACTGGTTTAGCGCCTTTTAGAGGTTTTATTCAAGAAAGACATCAAGCTAAGGAAGCAGGTAATCTTCGTATATGATTTAAAGTGTATGAATTAATTTCAAATAGTACTATTGACTTCAATAACTACATATAGTGGTATCACCATTACCTAGAATCGCTACACT